GTTAATATAGACACGATAAAAATAATGGCCAAATAAGTAGAGAAAATGGGTGTATGAAGTCATACAACCAGAAGGATATTTGATAATTGAATCTTTTCACCACCCATGAATTTGTAGGGATGTCTGTGAAGTTTTCATTGATGCATGCATCAGAATTTTTATTTTCTTTAATTAATGTGAGTAGAAAGAAGTACAGATTTGAGAGTACCAATCTTGAAAGTTTGCACTCATAATATACCAAATGCACATTGTAAATTATATATTTTTTTTTCACTCAATTTTTTGCTTGCCTATGGATGAGAATAACAAATTACATTTCTTCATGGACTTCCTTTACAGTACAGGTAGACTCCACTTCTACAGCAGGTTAGGTTCCAGGCTACTGATGTAACACAAAAATTGCTGTAAAGTGAAACATCCTTTTTTCACTTTCAAAAGCATATGACATGTTTTTCACTATTTTATATTAGTGAGCAATAGAGCAGGCCTAAAAAATGCATATAAAAGTACACACATCACTCGCCTTAAAATATTTTTGTCCTTAGCTTATAATGAGTGGTGACTATATTTATTGTAGGAAGTGTGAATAAATGATGAATGAGTATAATTAAAAAAAATTGCATTAGTGAAGCACTGTAAAGTGAAGCTTGTAAAAGTGGGATCTGCCTGTATGTACTCTTCTTATTATAAGTAAATTGAGATACAATTTTGTGAAAAATACTTGGCTAGTAACCCTTCTCCTGTAAACCCAATTACTAAAAAAAGAAGAAGAAAAACTTTATAAAACTGGGATGCTTTTAATGTGTGTGGATGTAGTGCGGATGGCAAGAAACAGAAGATTTCTGATGTTATATGAAAAATTGGATGTCCGGCCCTAAGCAAACAAAGCTGAACGGGGTAGGGGGGTTTTGTGGGGGGAAAAAAATGGGGGAAAATCTGGGGTATCTGAGAGAGTTAGAGCAAAGGAAGATAAATATAAGTATGTACACGTAATGAAAGTAGTTTGTTAGATTATGTATTGGTGGATAAAAGGTTGATGGGTAGGCTCCAGGATGTACATGTTTATAGAGGGGCAACTGATATATCGGATCATTATTTAGTTGTAGCTACAGTTAGAGTAAGAGGTAGATGGGAAAAGCGGAAGGTGGCAACAACAAGTAAGAGGGAGGTGAAAGTGTATAAACAAAGGGGAGGAGGAAGTTCGGGTGAGATATAAGCGACTATTGGCAGAAAGGTGGGCTAGTGCAAAGATGAGTAGTGGGGGGGTTGAAGAGGGTTGGAATAGTTTTAAAAATGCAGTATTAGAATGTGGGGCAGAAGTTTGTGGTTATAGGAGGGTGGGGGCAGGAGGAAAGAGAGTGATTGGTGGAATGATGAAGTAAAGGGGGGATAAAAGAGAAAAAGGTAGCTTACGAGAGGTTTTTTACAAAGCAGAAGTGTTATAAGAAGAGCAGAGTATATGGAGAGTAAAAGAAAGGTGAAGAGAGTGGTGAGAGAGTGCAAAAGGAGAGCAGATGAAAGAGTGGGAGAGGCACTGTCAAGAAATTTTAATGAAAATAAGAAAAAAAATTTGGAGTGAGTTAAACAAGTTAAGAAAGCCTAGGGAAAGTATGGATTTGTCAGTTAAAAACAGAGTAGGGGAGTTAGTAGATGGGGAGAGGGAGGTATTAGGTAGATGGAGAGAATATTTTGAGGAACTTTTTAAATGTTGAGGAAGAAAGGGAGGCGGTAATTTCATGCACTGGCCGGGGAGGTATACCTTCTTTTAGGAGTGAAGAAGAGCAGAATGTAAGTGTGGTGGAGGTACGTGAGGCATTACGTAGAATGAAAGGGGGTAAAGCAGCTGGAACTGATGGGATCATGACAGAAATGTTAAAAGCAGGGGGGGATATAGTGTTGGAGTGGTTGATACTTTTGTTTAATAAATGTATGAAAGAGGGGAAGGTACCTAGGGATTGGCGGAGAGCATGTATAGTCCCTTTATATAAAGGGAAAGGGGACAAAAGAGATTGTAAAAATTATAGAGGAATAAGTTTACTGAGTATACCAGGAAAAGTAAACGGGCTGGAGTTTTGAGACTCTATGACCGCGGGTTCAATCCCGGCCGGGGTATAGTCGTACGGTAGGGTTATAATTGAAAGAATTAGAGGTAAGACAGAATGTAGGATTGCGGATGAGCAGGGAGGCTTCAGAGTGGGTAAGGGATATGTAGATCAAGTGTTTACATTGAAGCATATATGTGAACAGTATTTAGATAAAGGTAGGGAAGCTTTTATTGCATTTATGGATTTAGAAAAGGCATATGATAGAGTGGATAGAGGAGCAATGTGGCAGATGTTGCAAGTATATGGAATAGGTGGTAAGTTACTAAATGCTGTAAAGAGCTTTTATGAGGATAGTGAGGCTCAGGTTAGGGTGTGTAGAAGAGAGGGAGAATACTTCCCGGTAAAAGTAGGTCTTAGACAGGGATGTGTAATGTCACCATGGTTGTTTAATATATTTATAGATGGGGTTGTAAAAGAAGTAAATGCTAGGGTGTTCGGGAGAGGGGTGGGATTAAATTATGGGGAATCAAATTCAGAATGGGAATTGACACAGTTACTTTTTGCTGATGATACTGTGCTTATGGGAGATTCTAAAGAAAAATTGCAAAGGTTAGTGGATGAGTTTGAGAATGTGTGTAAAGGTAGAAAGTTGAAAGTGAACATAGAAAAGAGTAAGGTGATGAGGGTATCAAATGATTTAGATAAAGAAAAATTTGATATCAAATTGGGGAGGAGGAGTATGGAAGAAGTGAATGTTTTCAGATACTTGGGAGTTGACGTGTCGGCGGATGGATTTATGAAGGATGAGGTTAATCATAGAATTGATGAGGGAAAAAAGGTGAGTGGTGCGTTGAGGTATATGTGGAGTCAAAAAAAACGTTATCTATGGAGGCAAAGAAGGCAATGTATGAAAGTATAGTAGTACCAACACTCTTATATGGATGTGAAGCTTGGGTGGTAAATGCAGCAGCGAGGAGACGGTTGGAGGCAGTGGAGATGTCCTGTCTAAGGGCAATGTGTGGTGTAAATATTATGCAGAAAATTCGTTGTGTGGAAATTAGGAGAAGGTGTGGAGTTAATAAAAGCATTAGTCAGAGGGCAGAAGAGGGGTTGTTGAGGTGGTTTGGTCATTTAGAGAGAATGGATCAAAGTAGAATGACATGGAAAGCATATAAATCTATAGGGGAAGGAAGGAGGGGTAGGGGTCGTCCTCGAAAGGGTTGGAAAGAGGGGGTAAAGGAGGTTTTGTGGGTGAGGGGCTTGGACTTCCAGCAAGCGTGCATGAGCGTGTTAGATAGGAGTGAATGGAGGAGAACGATACTTTGGGACCTGACGATCTGTTGGAGTGTGAGCAGAGTAATATTTAGTGAAGGGATTCAGGGAAACCGGTTATTTTCATATAGTCGGACTTGAGTCCTGGAAATGGGAAGTACAATGCCTGCACTTTAAAGGAGGGGTTTGGGATATTGGCAGTTTGGAGGGATATGTTGTGTATCTCTATACGTATATGCTTCTAAACTGTTGTATTCTGAGCACCTCTGCAAAAGCAGTGATAATGTGTGAGTGTGGTGAAAGTGTTGAATGATGATGAAAGTATTTTCTTTTTGGGGATTTTCTTTCTTTTTTTTGGGTCACCCTGCCTCGGTGGGAGACGGCCGACTTGTTGAAAAAAAAAAAATGTCCTCTAGTGAGTGTAGTAAAGAAGTTCATCTGTCTCATAATTAATGAAGCAATAACCTTCTATTACTACTTTTGTTGAATGATCTACATAAGTTTATTGCTTCACATAAATATAATAATAATGTAAGAGAAAGATACATAATATACACTTAGAAAATCCTAAAGGGATTAGTACCAAACTTGCATACAAAAACCACTCCCTACGAAAGCAAAAGACTCGGCAGGTGATACAACAATCCCAAATGAGAACCAGGGGTACACTAAGAGACAACACAGTTAAGTGTCAGGGGCCCAAGACTATTCAACTTCCTCCCAGCATACATAAGGGGGATTACCAGTAGACCCCTGTCTGTCTTCAAGACGGCACTGGACAGGCACCTAAAGTCAGTACCTGACCAGCCAGACTGTGGTTCATACGTTGGTTTACGTGTGGCCAGCAGTAACAGCCTGGTTGATTAGACCCTGATCCCCCACGATGCCTGGTTTCAGACCGGGCCATGGGGGTGTTGACCCCCTAAACCCTCTCCATGTAAATAACAACAACAGTGAGCATCAGTATGCTTCTTGTTTTAATATTAAGATGGGCACTGCTGAGGCATTCACTAAATTCTTGCCTCTTTCACAGTCATCTGTTACAGATGTGTGAGAGGATGGAAAGATAATGATTAAGTTTACTTACTAAATCATTCCTATGGTCAGAATATGACTACCTAGAAGAAAGCTGAGTAGTATATCACCACCTGATTGTTTCATCTCTCCTTTAGGGTACAGCCTCTCCTCACTTAGCGATGTACTCTTTTACCAATGCCTCGGACTTACGACAGGCTCTCTGACCAGTATTCATACCTAAATAATGTATATTAGAGCTGATTTTTGCTATTCTGTTTATTTCATTATGCAATACACTACTGTATAAACATTTAAAAATATACCAAAAATGTTATAAATGTTGCAAAGGTGACATTAAAACTATATCAGATTATTATTATTATTATTATTATAATCAAAAAGAAGCGCTAAGCCACAAGGGAAAACTATATCAGAGATGGTTGACACAAACTCACTACCCATATAGTATGCTCCTCACTTAGCAACGCATTCATTTAACGACATGGTCTTAGGAACAGAACTCTGTCATTAAGTGAGGAGTGGCTGTACTTGCTTCTAAAATATAAAGAGAACTTTGTAATATACTGCATGACTAATATTCTTGCATTACAGCCAGACCAGTTTATATGAAGGAAAAGAGTTTGTTTAAAATGTGTTTATTTCTAGGTAGTTGGAATGAGTTCTGAAATGTTTGAGCAGATGCAGGCATGTTACAAAGAAAAATTTGATAGAGCTCAAGATGTTCTCCGAAGCTTGGTGCCTTTTGATTCACAAGATGCTCAGCAGAGTTTTCTCTTCACTTTACAAGAAGAATCACGGGAGTGTTCTTGGGCAGGTAAAAAGCAAAAAAATACACGAGAATTAGCTTGAAGTAAAGTTTTTTTTTATTATTATCACACTGGCCGATTCCCACCAAGGCAGGGTGGCCCGAAAAAGAAAAACTTTCACCATCATTCACTCCATCACTGTCTTGCCAGAAGGGTGTTTTACACTACAGTTTTTAAACTGCAACATTAACACCCCTCCTTCAGAGTGCAGGCACTGTACTTCCCATCTCCAGGACTCAAGTCCGGCCTGCCGGTTTCCCTGAACCCCTTCATAAATGTTACTTTGCTCACACTCCAACAGCACGTCAAGTATTAAAAACAATTTGTCTCCATTCACTTTTATCAAACACGCTCACGCATGCCTGCTGGAAGTCCAAGCCCCTCACACACAAAACCTCCTTTACCCCCTCCCTCCAACCTTTCCTAGGCTGACCCCTACCCCGCCTTCTTTCCACTACAGACTGATACACTCTTGAAGTTATTCTGTTTCGCTCCATTCTCTCCACATGTCCGAACCACCTCAACAACCCTTCCTCAGCCCTCTGGACAACAGTTTTGGTAATCCCGCACCTCTTCCTAACTTCCAAACTACGAATTCTCTGCATTATATTCACACCACACATTGCTCTCAGACATGACATCTCCACTGCCTCCAGCCTTCTCCTCGCTGCAACATTCATCACCCATGCTTTACACCCATATAAGAGCGTTTGTAAAACTATACTCTCATACATTCCCCTCTTTGCCTCCAAGGACAAAGTTCTTTGTCTCCACAGACTCCTAAGTGCACCACTCACTCTTTTTCCCTCATCAATTCTATGATTCACCTCATCTTTCATAGACCCATCCGCTGACACGTCCACTCCCAAATATCTGAATACGTTCACCTCCTCCATACTCTCTCCCTCCAATCTGATATTCAATCTTTCATCACCTAATCTTTTTGTTATCCTCATAACCTTACTCTTTCCTGTATTCACCTTTAATTTTCTTCTTTTGCACACCCTACCAAATTCATCCACCAATCTCTGCAACTTCTCTTCAGAATCTCCCAAGAGCACAGTGTCATCAGCAAAGAGCAACTGTGACAACTCCCACTTTATGTGTGATTCTTTATCTTTTAACTCCACGCCTCCTGCCAAGACCCTCGCATTTACTTCTCTTACAAGTTAGGTAGTACTGAAGTACAGCAGTCCATCTTAATCAAAGTCAGTATTTTGCAGTGGCTTAGTTAGATGCATGACTGTGATGAGGGGACTGAAAGTGATTATGTGGCTGTATTGAACAGTCTGTATGGTGGGTCCCCATTTTCTCTTCATACTGCAAGAGCTTTCATCACCTTCGTGTACTTCATTAATTGGAGTTATGGTTTTTTATAATTGGTTAATATTCAACATATGACAGTCTAATCTAACCCAACTAAAACTACCCTAAGGTAAATAATGCAACTAGGAAAATTTGCTTAAAATGAAATGTAAGAAATTGACTTAGGCTTTAAAAGGATGGCTGAGTACAGCCATGTCTATTAATTTGCAGAGGTTGACATTCCTTTGGATAATGTAAAACCAGAAACTGAATATGTAATTTTAAAATTACCTCAGCACTAATAAACTTGTTTCAGATATGGGTTTGTTTTGTGTTTCAGGGACTTTATTTCTGTAATATATCTCTCTAATTGAGTTAATATAGACACTGATAAGAAATAATGGCCAGAATAAGTAGAGACATGGGTGTATGAAGTCATACAACCAGAAGGATATTTGATAATTGAATCTTTTCACCACCCATGAATTTGTAGGGATGTCTGTGAAGTTTTCATTGATGCATGCATCAGAATTTTTATTTTCTTTAATTTAATGTGAGTAGAAAGAAGTACAGATTTGAGAGTACCAATCTTGAAAGTTTGCACTCATAATATACCAAATGCACATTGTAAATTATATATTTTTTTTTCACTCAATTTTTTGCTTGCCTATGGATGAGAATAACAAATTACATTTCTTCATGGACTTCCTTTACAGTACAGGTAGACTCCACTTCTACAGCAGGTTAGGTTCCAGGCTACTGATGTAACACAAAAATTGCTGTAAAGTGAAACATCCTTTTTTCACTTTCAAATGCATATGACATGTTTACACTATTATATATTTAGTGAGCAATAGAGCTAGGCCTAAAAAATGCATATACAGTACACACATCACTCGCCTTAAAATATTTTTGTCCTTAGCTTATAATGAGTGGTGACTATATTTATTGTAGGAAGTGTGAATAAATGATGAATGAGTATAATTAAAAAACGTTGCATTAGTGAAGCACTGTAAAGTGAAGCGTTGTAAAGTGGGATCTGCCTGTATGTACTCTTCTTTATATAAGTAAATTGAGATACAATTTAGTGAAAAATACTTGGCTAGTAACCCCTTCTCCTGTAGACAATTACTAAAAAAGAGAAGAAGAAAAACTTTATAAAACTGGGATGCTTGAATGTGTGTGGATGTAGTGCGGATGGCAAGAAACAGATGATTGCTGATGTTATGAATGAAAAGAAGTTGGATGTCCTGGCCCTAAGCTAAACAAAGCTGAACGGGGTAGGGGAGTTTCGGTGGGGGGAAATAAATGGGATTAAATCTGGAGTATCTGAGAGAGTTAGAGCAAAGGAAGGGGTAGCAGTAATGTTGAAGGATCAGTTATGGAAGGAGAAAGGAGAATATGACTGTGTAAATTCAAGAATTATGTGGATTAAAGTAAAGGTTGGATGCGAAAAGTGGGTCATAATAAGCGTGTATGCACCTGGAGAAGAGAGGAATGTAGAGAGAGAGAGAGATTTTGGGAGATGTTAAGTGAATGTATAGGATCCTTTGAACCAAGTGAGAGAGTCATTGTGGTAGGGGACCTGAATGCTAAAGTAGGAGAAACTTTTAGAGAGGGTGTGGTAGGTAAGTTTGGGGTGCCAGGTGTAAATGATAATGGGAGCCCTTTGATTGAACTTTGTATAGAAAGGGGTTTAGTTATAGGTAATACATATTTTAAGAAAAAGAGGATAAATAAGTATACAAGATATGATGTAGGGCGAAATGACAGTAGTTTGTTGGATTATGTATTGGTAGATAAAAGACTGTTGAGTAGACTTCAGGATGTACATGTTTATAGAGGGGCCACAGATATATCAGATCACTTTCTAGTAGTAGCTACACTGAGAGTAAAAGGTAGATGGGATACAAGGAGAATAGAAGCATCAGGGAAGAGAGAGGTGAAGGTTTATAAACTAAAAGAGGAGGCAGTTAGGGTAAAATATAAACAGCTATTGGAGGATAGATGGGCAAATGAGAGCATAGGAAATGGGGTCGAAGAAGTATGGGGTAAGTTTAAAAATGTAGTGTTAGAGTGTTCAGCAGAAGTTTGTGGTTACAGGAAAGTGGGTGCGGGAGGGAAGAGGAGCGATTGGTTGAATGATGATGTAAAGAGAGTAGTAAGGGAGAAAAAGTTAAGCATATGAGAAGTTCTTACAAAGTAGAAGTGATGCAAGGAGGGAAAGAGTATATGGAGAAAAAGAGAGAGGTTAAGAGAGTGGTGAAGCAATGTAAAAAGAGAACAAATGAGAGAGTGGGTGAGATGTTATCAAAAAATTTTGTTGAAAATAAGAAAAAGTTTTGGAGTGAGATTAACAAGTTAAGGAAGCCTAGAGAACAAATGGATTTGTCAGTTAAAAATAGGAGAGGAGAGTTATTAAATGGAGAGTTAGAGGTATTGAGAAGATGGAGGGAATATTTTGAGGAATTGTTAAATGTTGATGAAGATAGGGAAGCTGTGATTTCGTGTATAGGGCAAGGAGGAATAACATCTTGTAGGAGTGAGGAAGAGCCAGTTGTGAGTGTGGGGAAGTTCGTGAGGCAGTAGGTAAAATGAAAGGGGGTAAGGCAGCTGGGATTGATGGGATAAAGATAGAAATGTTAAAAGCAGGTGGGGAATATAGTTTTGGAGTGGTTGGTGCAATTATTTAATAAATGTTGGAAGAGGGTAAGGTACCTAGGGATTGGCAGAGAGCATGCATTGTTCCTTTGTATAAAGGCAAAGGGGACAAAAGAGAGTGCAAAAATTATAGGGGGATAAGTCTGTTGAGTATACCTGGTAAAGTGTATGGTAGAGTTATTATGAAAGAATTAAGAGAAGACGGAGAATAGGATAGCAGATGAACAAGGAGGCTTTAGGAAAGGTAGGGGGTGTGTGGACCAGGTGTTTACAGTGAAACATATAAGTGAACAGTATTTAGATAAGGCTAAAGAGGTCTTTGTGGCATTTATGGATTTGGAAAAGGCATATGACAGGGTGGATAGGGGGGCAATGTGGCAGATGTTGCAAGTGTATGGTGTAGGAGGTAGGTTACTGAAAGCAGTGAAGAGTTTTTATGAGGATAGTGAGGCTCAAGTTAGAGTATGTAGGAAAGAGGGAAATTATTTCCCAGTAAAAGTAGGCCTTAGACAAGGATGTGTGATGTCACCGTGGTTGTTTAATATATTTATAGATGGGGTTGTAAGAGAAGTAAATGCGAGGGTCTTGGCAAGAGGTGTGGAGTGGGAGTTGTCACAGTTGCTCTTTGCTGATGACACGGTGCTCTTGGGAGATTCTGAAGAGAAGTTGCAGAGATTGGTGGATGAATTTGGTAGGGTGTGCAAAAGAAGAAAATTAAAAGTGAATACAGGAAAGAGTAAGGTTATGAGGATAACAAAAAGATTAGGTGATGAAAGATTGGATATCAGATTGGAGGGAGAGAGTATGGAGGAGGTGAATGTATTCAGATATTTGGGAGTGGACGTGTCAGCGGATGGGTCTATGAAAGATGAGGTGAATCATAGAATTGATGAGGGAAAAAGGGTGAGTGGTGCACTTAGGAGTCTGTGGAGACAAAGAACTTTGTCCTTGGAGGCAAAGAGGGGAATGTATGAGAGTATAGTTTTACCAACGCTCTTATATGGGTGTGAAGCATGGGTGATGAATGTTGCAGCGAGGAGAAGGCTGGAGGCAGTGGAGATGTCATGTCTGAGGGCAATGTGTGGTGTGAATATAATGCAGAGAATTTGTAGTTTGGAAGTTAGGAGGAGGTGCGGGATTACCAAAACTGTTGTCCAGAGGGCTGAGGAAGGGTTGTTGAGGTGGTTCGGACATGTAGAGAGAATGTAGTGAAACAGAGTGACTTCAAGAGTGTATCAGTCTGTAGTGGAAGGAAGGCGGGGTAGGGGTCGGCCTAGGAAACGTTGGAGGGAGGGGGTAAAGGAGGTTTTGTGTGCGAGGGGCTTGGACTTCCAGCAGGCATGCGTGAGCATGTTTGATAGGAGTGAATGGAGACAAATGGTTTTTAATACTTGACGTGCTGTTGGAGTGTGAGCAAAGTAACATTTATGAAGGGGTTCAGGGAAACCGGCAGGCCGGACTTGAGTCCTGGAGATGGGAAGTACAGTGCCTGCACTCTGAAGGAGGGGTGTTAATGTTGCAGTTTAAAAACCGTAGTGTAAAGCACCCTTCTGGCAAGACAGTGATGGAGTGAATGATGGTGAAAGTTTTTCTTTTTCGGGCCACCCTGCCTTGGTGGGAATCGGCCAGTGTGATAATAATAATAAATAAAAAAAGAAATAGTAAATATAAAATTGTTAATAGATGGGAACACTTTGCAGAGATAAGTTAGAAATTGTATCTTTAGATTTTGAGGTTAAATTTAATGGTACAATATAACACATGAGAATAATCTCTATTTTTTATACTTAGGTGAAATGCTAGATCATTTTTGCACTGAGAATGCAGCAACATGGGACCAAGAAATCAGTCGTTACCTCTTCCAGTTTCGCACAACATCATCATCTGTTGGTGGAGTCACACCCTTCAGTATTATGTTCGCTCGTAATCCCACAGGTATATTAGTGAGAAGCTTATTGAAAACCCAGATATTTAAAAGTTATTGGTTAAGTTGTTATTGTGTAATAAACCATACCATGAGTGGGGTTAGAACCCATGATCAGAGAATCTTAAAACTCCAGACCGATGCATTGGTCTGGAGTTTTAAGACTCTCTGATTGCAGGTTCTAACCCTGCCCGTGGTATGGTTTGTTTGCAATCGTATCATAAAGATTTTGTGAGTCGAGTTATTTTGTAATCTGTCACATTAATGCAGTAAATGCATGTAAATGCTACAAATGCTTTTCTGAAGACTGTTGTTTGTAAATAATTTGAACTTTATATTACAATAAATTTAGTAAATACAGACCTTATTGTCCTGCTCGAATCACTAGACTAAGAGAAATACACAGCAAAAGGTAATAAATAACTTCATGATTAAAAAAAGAGTGGAAATAGAGATTGCTGTAAGCCTTTGATGAAACAATACAGCATGTAGAGTGGACAATAACATAAAATACCCATTAATGTTAATTTCTCTAATATTGTAGTTTAAGACAAAAGTGACATATTAGGAGGATGGGATGGGTGTGGGTGTGTAATGCAGGTGTTGCTGTGAATGATCTCAGGTATTATTTCAGAGTGGTAGCACTTTGAAGGATTTATTAGAATCATAGCAGTACTGTGAAGGTTTTATTAGACTCATGGCAGTATTGTGAAAGCTTTATTAAACTTATAACAGTACCATGAAGACTATTAGAGTCATAACAGTACTGCACTGTATAAAAGAGAGCAGGATGGAGGAAGGGACTGCTAAATTGTATTCCCTATTAATGTAAACTATTAATGAGTTGGCATTATAAAAAAGGTACCCTACAAGTGGATGTCTTAAACTGGTGAACAGCTCTTGATCCAAGGAACTGGAACAAACCTGATTAACCCAGTCCTCCAGTTTCCTAGGTGCTGAATGTCCCTAACAGGTTTAGCACTTCCCCACAAACAATAATTTATAATAATTACTAGTTTATTTTCATCTTAAATGCATAGTAGTTATAAGAAATTTATTTACAGGATATGTTAGCGAGGAGGAAAAAGAGAATATCAATATTCTAGAAGAGGAAAAAGCTTTAGAAGTGCCATCCAAGAGACGGCGGCTCCAAAGTTCTACTCTGCAAGTATGTTAAAACAATCAGCATGTTTTCTGAGTTACAAATGTTCTTTTATATTTATTGTTCTTTCTCTTAATTACCAGAATGTCATAACAAGTTATATTGTTATGTTCTTTTGTGCAGACCTTTAAATATAGATTAACACTTTAATTATAATTTTTTGCAACATTTTTGGGGTGAAAATATTTAAAACAGTGACTTTTTTTCTCACTATTAACTGCTCATCTTCATTTAGAATTCAGTAGTACTTTTCATGCCAAAATAAAATCCAGCTATCCACCATACTAGTCATGTTGAGAAGGCATAATATAATGGATAAAAGATAACATGGGATTTTATTTTCATCTGTAAGAAGAGTGCTGTGATGAAATGCAAAGCATGCTTAACTCACTGTATTACATAGGTGCACCTTATTTGTATAAAATGTGTCCATTGTTGTATAACTCATACTGGTATGGGTTTAGCACTTGTTTTCAATTTATTAATAACAGTGTCCCTGTAATCCTTATATCTTACCTTTTAATTTCCCAGTGTCGTCATTGCCATGAAACTTTCACAAGTAAGATCAGTTTTCGTATTCATCAACGTAAACACACTGAGGAGGCTCGAAAACGAGGTACAATGGATGGAGAAGAACCACTTCGGCCAATTCTTCAAGAAAAGAAGCCTCAACCTCGAAAGCTTTTATCACGCAAGAGGAGGAGACCTTTTGGGCGAGGTGATAAGGATCTTATATAAGGGTTATATACAATGTACATTTTATATACAACCTGTCCTACTGTATTCATAGTTCATGTCTCTCAAACTTTTTTCAGAAAATTTAAAGATTTATGTTATTTAGGTTAGGTTTAGTTATGATAGATTCTTGTTTGTTAATAAAAATCAAGCACTTATAACATAGCACAAAGTCAATGTTTGTGAAGCACGATCAGAAGTGGAAACTTACCAAGTGCACTAAAATACAGTCAGACAATCTCTGTTTGAGGCTCATGAACAGTCACCCATGTGACTGTCTTAGCCACAATGCTATTCTGACTTTTGATGAGAAGGATGGGCAGATTATGTAATATAAATAGAAACGTTGAACAGAAGTGTAGAAATGTTTAAATGTTACTGTACAATTTTTTGAGAATTGGTTTCAAGTGCTCCTATAGTCCAGAACACTTGAAATCATTTGAAATATCTGAAGAGAATTCACATGACTACCCTTTGTGCTTTAAGTGAAACAAAGCTGAAGGGGGTGGGAGAGTTTCAGTGGAGAGGAATAAATGGGATTAGGTCAGGGGTTTCAAATAGAGTTAGAGCTAAAGAAGGAGTAGCAATAATGTTGAAGGATAAGCTATGGCAGGAAAAGAGGGACTATAAATGTATTAATTCAAGGATTATGTGGAGTAAAATAAAGATTGGATGTGAAAAGTGGGTTATAGTAAGCATATATGCACCTGGAGAAGAGACAAGTGTAGAGGAGAGAGATTTTGGGAAAAGTTGTTTGAATGCGTGGGGAGTTTTGAATCAAGTGTGAGAGTAATGGTGGTTGGGGATTTCAATGCTAAAGTGGGTAAAAATGTTATGGAGGGAGTAGTAGGTAAATTTGGGGTGCCAGGGGTAAATGTAAATGGGGAGCCTTTAATTGAGCTATGTGTAGAAAGAGATTTGGTAATAAGTAATACATATTTTATGAAAAAGAGGATAAATAAATATACAAGGTATGATGTAGCATGTAATGAAAGTAGTTTATTAGATTATGTATTGGTGGATAAAAGGTTGATGGGTAGGCTCCAGGATGTACATGTTTATAGAGGGGCAACTGATATATCGGATCATTATTTAGTTGTAGCTACAGTTAGAGTAAGAGGTAGATGGGAAAAGAGGAAGGTGGCAACAACAAGTAAGAGGGAGGTGAAAGTGTATAAACTAAGGGAGGAGGAAGTTCGGGTGAGATATAAGCGACTATTGGCAGAAAGGTGGGCTAGTGCAAAGATGAGTAGTGGGGGGGTTGAAGAGGGTTGGAATAGTTTTAAAAATGCAGTATTAGAATGTGGGGCAGAAGTTTGTGGTTATAGGAGGGTGGGGGCAGGAGGAAAGAGGAGTGATTGGTGGAATGATGAAGTAAAGGGTGTGATAAAAGAGAAAAAGGTAGCTTATGAGAGGTTTTTACAAAGCAGAAGTGTTATAAGAAGAGCAGAGTATATGGAGAGTAAAAGAAAGGTAAAGAGAGTGGTGAGAGAGTGCAAAAGGAGAGCAGATGATAGAGTGGGAGAGGCACTGTCAAGAAATTTTAATGAAAATAAGAAAAAGTTTTGGAGTGAGTTAAACAAGTTAAGAAAGCCTAGGGAAAGTATGGATTTGTCAGTTAAAAACAGAGTAGGGGAGTTAGTAGATGGGGAGATGGAGGTATTAGGTAGATGGCGAGAATATTTTGAGGAACTTTTAAATGTTAAGGAAGAAACAGAGGCAGTAATTTCATGCACTGGTCAGGGAGGTATACCATCTTTTAGGAGTGAAGAAGAGCAGAATGTAAGTGTGGGGGAGGTACGTGAGGCATTACGTAAAATGAAAGGGGGTAAAGCAGCTGGAACTGATGGGATCATGACAGAAATGTTAAAAGCAGGGGGGATATAGTGTTGGAGTGGTTGGTACTTTTGTTTAATAAATGTATGAAAGAGGGGAAGGTACCTAGGGATTGGCAGAGAGCATGTATAGTCCCTTTATATAAAGGGAAAGGGGACAAAAGAGACTGTAAAAATTATAGAGGAATAAGTTTCCTGATATACCAGGAAAAGTGTACAGTAGGGTTATAATTGAAAGAATTAGAGGTAAGACAGAATGTAGGATTGCGGATGAGCAAGGAGGTTTCAGAGTGGGTAGGGGATGTGTAGATCAAGTGTTTACATTGAAGCATATATGTGAACAGTATTTAGATAAAGGTAGGGAAGTTTTTATTGCATTTATGGATTTAGAAAAGGCATATGATAGAGTAGATAGAGGAGCAATGTGGCAGATGTTGCAAGTATATGGAATAGGTGGTAAGTTATTAAATGCTGTAAAGAGTTTTTATGAGGATAGTGAGGCTCAGGTTAGGGTGTGTTGAAGAGAGGGAGACTACTTCCCGGTAAAAGTAGGTCTTAGACAGGGATGTGTAATGTCACCATGGTTGTTTAATATATTTATAGATGGGGTTGTAAAGGAAGTAAATGCTAGGGTGTTCGGGAGAGGAGTGGGATTAAATTTTGGGGAATCAAATTCAAAATGGGAATTGACACAGTTACTTTTTGCTGATGATACTGTGCTTATGGGAGATTCTAAAGAAAAATTGCAAAGGTTAGTGGATGAGTTTGGGAATGTGTGTAAAGGTAGAAAGTTGAAAGTGAACATAGAAAAGAGTAAGGTGATGAGGGTGTCAAATGATTTAGATAAAGAAAAATTGGATATCAAATTGGGGAGGAGGAGTATGGAAGAAGTGAATGTTTTCAGATACTTGGGAGTTGACGTGTCGGAGGATGGATTTATGAAGGATGAGGTTAATCATAGAATTCATGAGGGAAAAAAGGTGAGTGGTGCGTTGAGGTATATGTGGAGTCAAAAAACGTTATCTATGGAGGCAAAGAAGGGAATGTATGAAAGTATAGTAGTACCAACACTCTTATATGGGTGTGAAGCTTGGGTGGTAAATGCAGCAGCGATGAGACGGTTGGAGGCAGTGGAGATGTCCTGTTTAAGGGCAATGTGTGGTGTAAATATTATGCAGAAAATTCGGAGTGTGGAAATTAGGAAAAGGTGTGGAGTTAATAAAAGTATTAGTCAGAAGGCAGAAGAGGGGTTGTTGAGGTGGTTTGGTCATTTAGAGAGAATGGATCAAAGTAGAATGACATGGAAAGCATATAAATCTATAGGGGAAGGAAGGCGGGGTAGGGGGTCGTCCTCGAAAGGGTTGGAGAGAGGGGGTAAAGGAGGTTTTGCGGGCAAGGGGCTTGGACTTCCAGCAAGCGTGCGTGAGCGTGTTAGATAGGAGTGAATGGAGACGAATGGTACTTGGGACCTGACGATCTGTTGGAGTGTGAGCAGGGTAATATTTAGTGAAGGGATTCAGGGAAACTGGTTATTTTCATATAGTCGGACTTGAGTCCTGGAAATGGGAAGTACAATGCCTGCACTTTAAAGGAGGGGTTTGGGATATTGGCAGTTTGGAGGGATATGTTGTGTATCTTTATATGTGTATGCTTCTAAACTGTTGTATTCTGAGAACCTCTGCAAAAACAGTGATAATGTGTGAGTGTGGTGAAAGTGTTGAATGATGATTAAAGTATTTTCTTTTTTGGGATTTTCTTTCTTTTTTGGGTCACCCTGCCTCGGTGGGAGACGGCCGACTTGTTGAAAAAAAAAAAAAAAATTAAAATACTATTTGTGGATTTAAGAAATCTATTCATCTACTTTATACTTTTTTCTACAGGTCCTGAACGCCTTTTGACCCTAGCCTCATCCGATTGGTCGGACCAGCAAAAAGAAAGTGTTCCAAATGATGAAAGCCGACAGCAGCTAACTCATGATACAGTTGCGGCAGTTAAAGCTCTTCTCAATGCTACAAAAGAGGAAAGAAGTAAGCGTGGAAAATATATAAAGTATACCCCAGAATTACGAGATGAGATTGCTCAATATGCCCTTGCACATGGTAATCATGAAGCCACTGTTTATTGGTCACATAGACTTGGTGGTACAGTAAGTGAAAGTACTATTAGAAACTTTATTAAAACATATAAGAGCTATACCCCAGAAGTTAAGGAAGAAATTGGAAAGTTTGCATTTCAGTATGGCATAGATGGAGCTTCTAGCCATTTCTCTGACAAATTAGGCCATGAAGTTAGGAAAGGGTTAATAAGAAAATTTAAAAAGAATTATTTAAAAAAATTCCCAGGAATGGATGAACTTGGAGGGGAACTTCAAGTGGCTGCAACTGGAAAACGAGGTGTAAATGCATCTAGTACATCTGCAAGGCAAAAACGATCATTTTCTTTGCAAATGAAAGATGAAATTGGACGATATGCAACTCAGTATGGTATAACTGCAGCCATTCAGCATTATTCAGAGAAACTTCAGTTTCTTGTTAAGGAGTCTACTGTGCGTAAATTTAAAAAACAGTTTGTAGATCGTGGTAATGTTAGTGGTGTAGCTACGAGTGGTGCTGCTGAAAATACTGCTGTTGTGGGTAGTGGCACTGTCTTGACAGACCACCAGACAGCAGCACCTCAAACTATAGATGTTCTTCACTCTTCTCTCTCAGTACTAAATGCTCCAGCTGTTTCTGGTACTGTCAATGTAAGTACTGCAAACAATTTTGTGTATCAACATCCTTATCATTTGAATATGGCACCAGGTCCTCAGGCAAATACTGTTCTTCCTATGAATCACAATTCTCTAACATTCCATCAGGGTGGAGTCATTAACCAAGGGATGACTGCTTCTCTGTCATACCAGCAACCTGGAGCACCTCCTGGGTCCTCAGTTATTATGAACCAAAGTTTTACTCATCAAGCCCCAACAGGATTTCAGCAGGGATATGTTGGTGGGTTCTCTCAGGGTGGTGGTTCAGGAGGGTCAACACATGGACAAATTACACCTCTTGCGATGACTCATACAAGTGTACCAGCTACCAGCATGGCACATTCTCCTTTACCACTCACTATGAGTGGGGCACCAGCAACGCACATTACACAGCTGAGTCATCACAGTGTAGGTGCTCCTGTAAGTCAAGCTCACCTCACTCAGGCTTCTACTGTGCCTCATACTGTTGCCAGTGGAGTGCAGCATCCAGCTCACCATCAGCTGATCACATCATTCCATCAACCTTTAGCTGGCTCTCTTAGTTTTGAAGGTGGTGCCTTACAAGCACATGCACAAGCTAACTTGAACAATGAACCTCTTAGCCTTATGAAGGAAACTCATGAACAGTCTACTGGGGTTAGTTTAGGAGGCCAAGGGGATGATAGTCTACATGGTCCTGGCACAGATGGGACTGCACAAACAGGTCTTGGTCATATGGGAGAGCAACCTGGCCCATCGGATCAACAAGACAATATTCTTGGAATTGAAGATGAAGATGAATATAGTGATCCTCCCACGCCAAGGAAAAAATTACATAAAGTTCGGACGAAAATCAGAAAAGGAAATACTGGCTTGAGTAAACGAGGTAATTATGCTTCATATAGTCCAGAACTTCGTGCTGAAATTGGAAAGTATGCAGCAGAACATGGAAATTTGGCAGCAGTTCAACACTTCAAGGAGCAACTAGGGTTTGAGATACCTGAAAGTACTGTTCGAGGATTAAAAGACAAATACCTCATAAAGCGTGTAAGGGGCAAGAAGGAAGTTGTGTCAATTGGATTTGCTCAAAGAGGGAGACCCATGAGATTAGGAAAATATGACGAGATCGTTCAAGACTGCATTCGACAATTAGTCAAGGATGGAGAGAAGGTATGATTATATTTCTGTATTATTATCTGCTGATGAATGCTTATAATTGTGTGCTGTATTTAACCATATTTTTGCTATTATTCAATTTCTCTATGAAAGTTGGAGTTAGTGTGCACTAACCCCACTAGTCACATGATGTAATTATTATATGTATTTCCTTCCCTTGCCAAAAGAATGATACTGTCTTGTCTGGCTTATTTTTACGCAAAGGATCATTTATTTTTTTATTTATTAACACATTGGCCGTTTCCCACCAAGGCAGGGTGGCCCGAAAAAGAAAAACTCATCATCATTCACTCCATCACTGTCTTGCTAGAGACATGCTTACACTACAGTTATAAAACTGCAACATTAACACCCCTCCTTCAGAGTGCTGGCACTGTGCTTCCCATCTCCAGGAATCAAGTCCGGCCTGCCGGTTTCCCTGAATCCCTTCATAAATGTTACCTTGCTTACACTCCAACAGCATGTCAAGGCCTGAAAACCATTTGTCTCCATTTCCTCCTATCTAACACACTCACGTATGCTTGCTAGAAGTCCAAGCCCCTCACATGCAAAACCTCCTTTACCCCCTTCCTCCAACCTTTCCTAGCCGACCCCTACCCCACCTTCCCTCCACTACAGATTTATACACACTCGAAGTCATTCTGTTTCTTTTCAGCCTCTCTACATGTCCAAACCATCTCAGTAACCCCTCCTCAGCCCTCTGGATAATAGTTTTGGTAATCCCACACCTCCTCCTAATCTCCAAACTACGGATTCTCTGCATTATATTCACACCACACATTGACCTCAGACATGACATCTCCACTGCCTCCTGCCTTCTCCTTGTTGCAACATTCACCACCCATCCCCTTACACCCAAAACAAACGTTGTAAACCCTTACACTTATACATTCCCCCTTTCAGTTCGTGATTCACCCCATCTTTCATAGACCACTGTTGACAGCCACTCCCGATATCGAATACATTCACCTCCCCATACTTCTCCCCCAATCGATATCCAATTTTCCATACCTAATTTTTTTTTTGTTATCCTCATCCCCCTTACTTTTTATATATATTCGTTTTTAATTTCTTTTTTTACTCCCCTACAAAAACCCACCCCAAACCCTCTGCAACTTGTCTTCAGAATCTCTCAAAAGCAAAGGTCATCACAAAGATCGCTGTGCAACTCCCATTTTGTGTTAGATCTTTATTTTTTAACCCCAAACCTTTTTCCCAACACCTGAGCATTCATTTCTTGTACAACCCATCTATAAAAAATTTTTGATTGTAAAGAATGAATGCTCGGGTATTGGCAAGAGGTGTGGGGTTACAAGATAAAGAATCTAACACAAAGTGGGAGTTGTCACAGTTGCTCTTTGCTGATGACACTGTGCTTTTGGGAGATTCTGAAAAAAAGTTGCAGAGGTTGGTTAATGAATTTTTGGGAGGGTTATTTAAAAAAAGGAAATTAAAATGAATAAAAAGGGAAAAACAAAATGAGAGGAAACAAAAAAAATAGGTAACAGAAGATTGGATCATATTTAACACAAAGGCAAAAGCTTATGCACTTTAGTAAGGTTACTAGACAGCAACCACCCAGGGAGGTACTGTTGTCCTGTCATTGAGTGTACAATGGAAACTTTCCTCTTTCAACAAACTGGCCATATCCCACTGAAGCAGGGTGGGCCAAAAAGAAAAACCAAAAGTTTCTCTTTTTAATTTAGTAACATATATAGGAGAAGGGGTTACTAGCCCATTGCTCCCAGCATTTTAGTCGCCTCTTACGACACGCATTGCTTATGGAGGAAGAATTCTGTTTCACTTCTCCATGGAGGTAAGCAGAAATAAACAAGAACAAGAACTAGTAAGAACATAGAAGAACACCCATAGGGGCATGTATATATGTATGTGCATGTTTACGGGACAGAAAAAAAGACACCAGCAGTCCTACCATCATGCAAAACAATTACAGGTTTCCATTTTACACTCACTTGGCAGGATGGTAGTACCTCCCTGGGTGGTTGCTGTCTATCAGCCTACTACCTAGGGAAATGGAAACATGTTAATTATTTTGGACCTGCCAGGATTGTTGAGCTTTTCTTTGTGTTTCATGTACACATGAGATAGCATGTAAATCTTTGTAACTTCTACTGAATATAGTGATAGAGTGGTGACAGTTCATATTATGTTATGAATGCTATTGGATCTAAATGAACAGGTTGCTATTGATGTATTGAATCATATAATGAATAGTTAATCTGCACAGAATTTGCATTAAATTAAGAGGTGTTTTCCATCAGTATTTTGACAAAGATCCTTTAGCATCTTCTGGCAGAGCACTCCAGAAGATGTTACAAAAATCTTCAGTTTATATGGAGTTCCTAAATAGGTTGAAGTCACAAGATTAGTATATCAAAGATATACTTGTTTATAATATTGTGTACGTATTTGTATTCTGTTATAGCTGATAAATTAGACACATGTGCAACACTTGGATTTCTTTATTTTGGAAACATTTTGCCACATAGTGGCCTCCTCAGTCCAATACAGAGAAGAATGGTTAAAGATCAGAAGGAGTTTGAGGTAATCAGTTCTCTGAATCATTTATCTACATTCTATTGCAGCTATCCAGGAAGAGTTGGAGTACTGGGTTGATAGTAGTGTCCTGAACATATAGTAAGCGCAGTGTGAATGTTTTGTATGTTGAGTAAATTGAGACGTTTGAATAGAGGGGGTTTTGTATTATCTGGAACCAGTTTGGTTAATTCTCAGAGCTAATTTTTGTTGAGTAACGATATGTTTTAGGTGATTAGTCATTTTAGATCTCCATGCACAAGTACCACAAATGAGAAAGTTACCCAGGTGTTACACAGAGTAGTACAGAATGAGTGAAGTTGTTTGAAACTTGATGGACATGAATGTTGAATTTTAGGGTGAAGTCAAAGTGTATACCTAAGAACTTTCCCTTGTTTCATCTTTCTTTGAAGGAATTATTTATTTTTATGTTCATTCAAGTATCTCTACACAGATATCTTTAATAATAATGTGTACTGTACTTGTTCTTAGTCAATCTGTCATTTAACATTGTATTTTTATTCACAGGTTTCCTCATTTTTGGCCATCGCAACAGCTAAACAGGTGTTAATGCAGTACGAGCCTAGTCTACTGGAAGAATATGGGGGACCCGTCAAGTTAAACCCAACATGGGCAAAGAGCTTCCTTAAACGTATTGGACTTCATCAGCTGGCATAATATTTCTGTGATCCTCAAGTATTATTTAGCAGCATGATCTCATAACGTTCTTTCATATTTATAAAATATCCTTAGTGTTACGGGGTTTTGATAAATATTGTTGACATCATCATATTTTAAAAGACTAGATTCATAATACTGTTGCCAGACAAATGTTTTAACATTACTAATGCCTGACAATTACTACCTCTTACTGCTACCTCCATTTTTTGGATGCACAGTGTATCACTGTTTTAATTTTTTAATAATCAAGTTACAGGGTAGTTCTTGTTAAATTATCAAGTTTGGTTGCTATGAACACCAATATCAGTTGCTTCATTTGAAATGTTCAATGCATTTTTCCTCATACCAGTTGAAAGCTAGCTTAGTTAATATTATTAATAGGTTGTTGAAATTTAGTATTTTAGTTAATTTATTTTTGGTTTATAATAACTTATTGACTTAAACACAGTATTGCATAGTAAGCAGTTTTCCCTACTAAATGTAAATCATTCTGATGACACAATTTATTTTGTACAAGTACAAAAGCCTGTTGACTAGAATCCCATGAAGGTGCCAACAATGAAATTTTAAATAAAATGTAAAAAAAAAAAGAAAGTACCTACTGGCTTCTCAGAATAACATTGCCACTTTACTTCTTATACAGTATAGCATCAGGGTAATGACCACAGTATATTTCCAATACTAAAATTCAACAAACTCAGACAAGGGAAACAGTACTATAGTAATCAGCATTATCTAAGTGTACCTGATTCATTTTCTCTTTGAGTCTACTTTCTCCTGCTCTTCTTACACAGAATGTGTAAAGTTTTGTTACCATAGTATAACATCTGCAAAATAAAGAACAAAAAGGCACAATACAAAAAATAAACACAGAAGCAGTATAATGTGATCCTTTATTGACAACATTTTGCCCACACAGTGGGCTTTATAAAGTCACAAACAGATCTGTTTGTGACTTGATAAAGCTCACTGTATGAGCAAAAAGTTGTCAATAAAGGATCACTTTATACTGCTTCTGTGTTTATTTTTCCATTGTGTTGGTATTTTATACCATTTATTTCCAGGCACAGTACCATGACTGGAACAGTACACAAATAACCCTATTTGTGTATCTGCAGAATAGAAAAAATCATCATTGTTTGAAATATACTTGCAAAGATATAGATTTTAAAAAGAAAAAATTATTTTCTTATAAATTAAAAAAAAAATTAAAAACTGTGAGTAAACATGTTACTGATATTATTACAGCATTATAGCTCATATTTGTCTGTTACTTAGCAGAATTACTTGAAAATCTGACTTGACTATATGTACTTTTACACCAGATGAGTCAAGTTAGATAGAATATCTGTTTCAAGATTAGCAGATGAAGGCTCGAGCTTCCAATTCTTATGCAGAATGACTTACATGGGTTCAGTGCTTCACATGATAATAAATAAACAAAATGTATCTACAATATTCTCATTAAGGTTGGCTTGGGAAACCTTCCCGGTATTTTTTGCTGAATGTGTTACTATTATTATTACCTCCATTATCATCTTCATATGAACATTGTTTGTTAAATAGTTTTCATAGTTACATTGTTATTTTAATTACTAGCATCATTATCATATTGCCACCATCATTGATCATTATTGTCATAATTATCACTTATTTTTGTTATTATTATAAGCTTAGCCAAAAATTACAGCTACAATTGTTGTACAATCTCCGTATATTCATTCCTCTTTATGTACAATATTTTGTGAATAAATAATTACCTTGATTATCATTATATTTACCAAAACATAATTTAGTTCACTGCAGCCATAATTGTAGATCTTTCTTAACAATATTATAAAACATTTTACTTAGAAATTTTTAAAACTGAATGAGCATTACCTGAAATATAAAATTACCTGGTAAATATTAATTCATTACCTCAGTTCTTCAGGATTATTATTAGCAATAATAAAAGATTATTGTTTTTTTAAATAAATATTTGCTTTCATGTGCTGATGACACAATAATTAGATGAACAGTAATTTTTTTTTTCCAACAAGTCGGCCGTCTCCCACCAAGGCAGTAATTACCCTTGTAAAATATCTGTTAGAGTGCAGATCGTTTGTCTGTATAGTAAAACATATCATATCTCATGATCAGAAACCAGGAGTAGTCAATATCAGGTTACCCTTATGACTGGCAATGACTGGTGCCCTACCAATGAATGAAACTTTCACTGACCTGTGCGATGAGTGATTTTGTTTTGGTCAGTGATGGTATGAGTGCATGCTTTTGATATTTAAGAAAATATTAAATATTTAAAAACAGCATCAGCTATCTGTCACCTGCATTCCAAGGAGTACAGGTCAATATATTGATACCAAATTATGATTATTTTTATTTTTTTAATTGCTTTTAGTGTATTAATGCCTTGTACATTAGTTTCTTACAATATTAGATGTGTTTAAAGATGTTTTAGTACTCATAACTTGGGGAAAATGCTTACCCTGACATTGCTCTTCATCATCATTCAACACTTTCACATCATTCATGTGTAATCACTGTCTTTGTAGAGGCGCTCAGATACGCCAATTTAGATGTCACTCCAAACAGCCAATATCCCAAACTCCTTTCTTTAAAGTGCAGGCATTGTACTTCCCACCTCCAGGACTCAAGTCAGGCTAACCAGTCTCCCTGAATCCCTTTATGCAATATTACCCTGCTCACACTCCAACAGAATGTTATTATTATAGATTAGTTGTTTGAGGGTGTAATGGAAATAAGTCACTTTGACTTACTTGGGTTATTCAAGGTTAATTATTTATGCATAATGTAATCTAGGTTTTGAGGGAATATCCTGGGTTATAGTATAAACATTGTGTCCAAAACGTTGAAATTTGTTAATGAAAATTTTACTGTAATTTCAGTAATTACTTTAAAAAATCACTAGTGCAGTCTTAGTTTCAAGACTGCAGTATAATGATTCTAGCATTCTAAGTGCTTATTTAATATGTATATTGTATGTAAATATACTTGGTTAGTTAGTATCTTATTTTTAAAAACCTATCGACCACACATGGATCAGTACAGATGCAATTCTATTGTACGCTATAATCAACTTAAATCAAGGATACTTTATTCTCTGAAATACACCCCTCTTGGTATGTATACCACATTAGCTGTGGTATCTATAATTATGCATTAAACACTTGGGATGATCCATAGATACAGGTGTAATTATATACTTCTGAGCTTTATTAGTCGACTTGAAATAAATATTAAATACAAATGTAACACTGCTTGGCTTGGCACGTGTGTTACAAGTAAAATACATATAAAAATATAATAAGGGTGCACCGTTTCATACTACTGTATTCTGCACTCGGTATAGTATTTACCTTAGGAAGATTTTGGATATTTATAAAACAATTATAGTACATATTTATTATTTAAGCTCATGATTTTAATATATAATACTTATGTGTTTTGTGATTCATGTGGATCATAGTACAGTATATATGTTTATGCACCCCTGGAAAGACAATTAGAGAATGAGTGATGATCAGTGTGTTTCCTACTTTGGGTCACCCTAGCTCTCAGGTAATGGGTGATGTGTTAAATATAATTTAAAATACACTAACCAAGATTTTTAAAGGGGTGGACCGGTAAGCTAGCAGAAGGCCTCGGTCAGATGACCAAAAGCTCCAGCTGTGGGTCATCAGCTGTGTGTCAGGAAACACTTGTACTGTTTTCTGACAAATCTTACCTAACATAACCTAAAATAAACTTTACCAGATATGATATGTTTTACAGTACAGTATTAAAGTTGGACCTCTAGCAGTCATAGAGCATACAAACTTAAATGCTTGAAATTCTTGGGAATGTTTGTGTTATAGAATTTAAAATGCTGTATCAACAATTCTCTTAAATTTGTTTACTTCTGTAAATTTTGTGTTAATAAAAAGGTGGTTGAATATATTGTATCTGTAAATATATTACTGTGTATTTTTTTACACAAATTCCCTAAAATTCAATAGTGTTTTATAAATAAATTGTTGACATTAAAAAACTATTTTCATTGAACCATTGTATTCTACAAGTATTCATATGCTGGAGAAAGTACTTGTTCCTCTCAAATGACTGACCACTTACAGCATCATATACTACTTTCTATTAACCCTTTCAGGGTCCAGAGGCCAAATTTCAAAGTGTGCACCAGTGTCCAAGAATTTTCAAAAAATAATTTTATTTTTTCTTATGAAATGGTAGAGAATCTTTTTCTGAAGGTAATAAAACAAAAAGTATGAAATTTGGTGGAAAGCTGACGAAATTATGCTCTCACGAATTTTGATGTGTCAGCGATATTTACGCACCAGCGATTTTGCCGACTTCGACTCCCATTTTAGGCCAATTACATTATTCCAGTCGACCAAATTTTTAGTTATTTCAGTAGTATTACTTCTATTCTATCGACTGAGCACAAGAAATCGCCAAATCAACTGTTTCAACTACAAAATAATGTGATCGGAAATTGGTAATTTGGCCAATTTAGTGCAAAGTTCAAAATATTCCAATTTCAAAATAAGGTCCAGAATAAACAATGCAGGCATTCCTGGCACTAAACTGACATTTCCTCTGTTCATTAGTTACATTTTCTGGCTTTATAAATGAATTCCATTTTGATTTTTTATTCACATAATGAATTTTTATTCAAACCAAAAAATAGAAGATTTACTGTTATGCAATATTGTAATAATTGTATAAATAATATCACCACGTTTGTGAAAGTATATTAGACCCACCAGCTGGCATGTATTAGACATGTGAGGTAATTTGTTTACTTTTGAACATCGACAAAAATTTAACATTTTCACTTCTTTGAGCTCAATTTCAAGCAATTTCCAATACTAAAACCAATCAAAATTATCTCTATTTCCATAATATATCTTCCATTCTATCAAATGAGACCAAGAAATCTCAAATACAACCATAAAAAACATACAAAAAAACACTGCAAAGTCGCTGTTTTAATCGAAAATTATATCCTAAGTTTTTTTTATCTCATTTTGCACTGTGTTCTGCAGGATTTGTTTTATGTGGTGCACACATACCACAGATGTATTCTCTCATGTCTAGGCCCAAATTTACTTCTCACAGTTTATGAGAGTGAGCTGAGCTCATGGCGTAGATCTACGATTTGGACCCTCAATGTAAAGCCGTAGATCTATGGCACGGACCCTGAAAGGGTTAAGTGGTAATATAAAAAGAAACTTCATGTCCTTACCCTTAGTCAAACTGTCATTACTTGTAACTGTGAATGGAAAACTTGCAGTTCTTATGGCTCAGAAAGCACTGTTGGAAATTACAGTACCCTTTGCTAAGAATTATGGATGAGAATGTCATTTTGGCTGACAGAGGTTTCACAACAGAAGTAGACACCAATGTCAGACATACATATAGGTTGTCTGTGCCACCCTACTGAGTGGAGCCTCAATATGCAGTATGGTTGTCTGTATGGTAAAAGATATGTTGAGATTCAAGATCTTTGCACCAACATATGTACACTGGCTTGTGCGCGGTCCCAATTTCCTATGTTTGGTGGTGTTCCTTTGCTATGGAGAATAATTGTTTGGATTATAGTCAAACCACAATTTAAATTGCCACATTTTCCATTGTTCTTTGG